TCTTATTTTATATACCCATTGGGTCTTAAGTGTACAAGTCTATGTTTATATTTATCTGGGTCCCAAAAATAATATAATGATTTGTTAAAGTAGTTGTCTTATTAATCTCATCTTGCTATATGAATTAATTAATCCAGTGACTGGATCCGAGCCTTCTATGACTGAATTTTCCATCCAATTATTGTCATCTCTTCATCCTATACGTATATATGTTTTGTCGTCTCATATACTGATTTTATGCCTTAGGTCATTGTTGATGATGGAGAACTTATTTCTGGAATTGTCTGCAAAAAGACAATTGGCTCGGGTTCCGGCTCTTTAATACACATTGTGGCCCTCGAACATAATCATGAACAAGTTGGCATGTTTTTCAACAACATACAAACAGTTGTTAATAATTGGTTGCTCATAGAAGGTCATACAATTGGAATTGCCGATACTCTTTATGATCAAGCTACAAGGCGTCAAATTGGAGATACCATTGGAAAAGCTAAAGATGCCGTGTTTGAGATAATTGACCAAGCTCATAACTATGATCTTCAACCAACTCCCGGCAATACCCTAAGGCAAACTTTTGAAAACAGTGTTAATAAGATCCTGAATGACGCCCGTGACAAAACAGGTAGCTGTGCTCAGAAATCACTCTCGAAATACAACAATTTTAACATAATGGTGGTTGCTGGCTCCAAAGGGTCTCGTATTAATATTTCTCAAGTTATCGCTTGCGTCGGACAACAAAACGTTGAAGGCAAAAGAATTCCCTTTGGCTTTCGTCATCGAACTTTACCCCATTTTATCCAGGATGATTATGGTCCGGAATCTCGCGGCTTTGTTGAGAATTCTTATCTGGCTGGCCTCACTCCTACTGAGTTTTTTTTCCATGCTATGGGAGGTCGAGAAGGCCTAATTGATACAGCTGTCAAAACTGCAGAGACGGGCTACATTCAGCGTCGTTTGATCAAGGCTATGGAGTCAGTTATGGTTAAATATGATGGGACTGTGCGTAATCAAATCAATCAACTGATCCAACTCCGCTACGGTGAAGATGGCCTTGACGCTTGTCACGTCGAATTTCAGCGTCTTCCAACATTCAAACTGTCGAGTGCAGCCTTTGAACATAGTTTCCGCTTCGATCTCTCAAATGAGCGTGCACTGAGACGCAGTATGCCTGACGATTTGGTGCGCAGTCTCACTACAGATGCACAGACGCAGAGTGAGTTAGATGCAGAGTGGGAGCAGCTCTGTCGCGACCGAACTGAGCTGCGTAAGTTGATTCGCAAAACGGACGACAATGTTGTTCTTCCTTGTAATATCAATCGACTGGTTATGAATGCTCAAAAAATTTTTGAAAGTGATCCTCTCGCCAAGACTACCCTTCATCCTCGGCAAGTTGTCGAGCAGGTCCGAGAAACTTGTCGTCGTCTCGTTGTGGTTCCGGGTGACGATAAACTCAGTCAAGAGGCAAACGCTAATGCCACTCTTCTTATGTCTTGTATGATTCGAGCTTCACTTTGTGCTAAAAAAGTTATTGAAGACTATCGGTTAAGTTATGAGGCCTTTGACTGGATTCTTGGTGAGATTCGTACACGATTTCAGCAAGCTCAAATTCATCCAGGAGAAATGGTTGGTGCTCTGGCAGCTCAATCTCTTGGTGAACCCGCTACTCAAATGACTCTTAACACGTTTCACTACGCGGGTGTTTCGGCCAAGAACGTTACACTAGGTGTGCCTCGACTTAAAGAGATTATCAACGTTAGCAAGCGTCCCAAAACTCCCTCCATGACTATATTCCTGACTGGACAGTCTGCACGAGATGCAGAAAGGGCTAAGGATGTTGTGGCTCGCCTTGAGCATACGACTCTTCGCAAGCTAGTAAATAGCACAGCCATCTTCTACGATCCAGATCCCAAAAATAGTGTAGTTGAAGAGGACCGAGAGTGGGTGTCTACTTACTACGAGTTGCCTGACTTTGATGTGAACGCCATCAGCTCGTGGATGTTGCGTATTGAGTTCTCGCGCAAGGGTATGACAGGCAAAAAGCTTTCACTTGAGCAAATTGCTGAAAAAATCACCAGAGCTTTTGGAAATGATCTGATCTGCCATATACCTGACGATAACCTAAAGTTGGTCATGCGTATTCGCATTATGAATAGCGACCTTGAAAAGGAATTAAAAGAAGCAGACACAACTGCAGACAAAATGGAAGATGATACATTCCTTCGATTCATTGAGGCTAATTTACTCACGGATATAACTCTTCAAGGTGTCCCACAAATTACCAAGGTTTATATGCATTTGCCGAAAACGCAGGACAAAAAGCGAATTTCAATAAAGGACGATGGAAGCTTTGATGCCATTGCTGAATGGATGTTGGAGACGGATGGGACCTGTTTAATGAAAGTGTTGGCCGAGCGGGATGTAGATTCAGTGAGGACGGTTAGCAACGACATCGTCGAAATCTTCGAGGCTCTTGGAATAGAGGCTGTGAGGAAGGCAATAGAGTGTGAAATGCACCACGTCATTTCCTTTGATGGTTCATATGTCAACTATCGTCATCTCGCTCTCTTGTGTGATATTATGACCGTAAAAGGCAAGTGGTGCTATTTGTGTCATTTTTTTAAACTTGCAAGCTAAATTTATTGCTAAGCTTTTCGTTAAGTAATCTCAAGTAGGCTCTATTGCTACTAGCTACTCATAGGCATTTCGAAGTAGTATAAAATATCGGCGGTCATCGTGTATGAAATCTGGATTTCGAAGTACCTGATAGATTAATGTTGGAGTGTCTCTTATTTCGTTTGAAGAGGCGAGTGGTAGGCATTCGTAAGTTGGTCTCATCGGAAGCTGTAGGGAAATTGATTGTAGATTTATGCGAATAGGCCCTCGGCGTACCGCTCTGTGACCCCGATGAATCCTCATTAAGTGGACCAAGTTTGACTATAAGTAGTGGGTAAGATCACAGCCGCCTGCCTTGTTTCATGTTTGGTGAATTGTCGTTGAGCATGCTGTCCTGCTCTGACGATGTCCGTCACATGACGGGTGAAAGCTCGGCAAGGATTCATCAGGGTCGCAGGGCGGTGCGCCGAGGACCTATTCGCACAAATTTACAATC